TCGGCCGCAGGTGGCCGCGGGGCCCTGCTGCGGGGAATGCCTCTTCCCTCCTCCCGGCGTGGAGAGGGGCGGAGCGGGGCTGCCCGGTGTGTCAGCGTCCTGGGAACGTTTCTCCGTGAATCCGGTCGCCTGCTCCTCACCGACACTGCACTCTCCTTCACACAGTTTCTCAGTGCCCCGGGGATGTCATTCATTCCTTTCTTTCCCGGCCCTTCCAGGTCTCTGCCCTGATGAGTTACTCCAGAGTTTCCTTATGCATGAAATCTAAACGAAAGGTTACCCTCCTTTGTATACCATTTTTGCCCTTTGATCTTAATTGCAGACGTTTCTTTACCCCCCTCCCCCATGTTCTTTCTTTTTTTTTTAAAGCTCCGTCTGAACAGTATTAAGAAATTATCAACAATTGCTCTAGCACTTGGAGTAGAAAGGACCCGAACTGAATTGCTGCCATTCCTTACAGGTATATGTCTTTGTTTAAACTATATGTAGTGGCTGTAATCCCAGCTACTACAAGGAAGATGGGTTTCATGAGGATCGAAGTTTGAGGATATCTGGGGCAAAAAGTTAACTAGATTACATCTCAGTTAATGAGCTGGTCAGTGTGAGGTACTACTATAATCCCAGCTGTATAGGAATTACAGATAAGAAGACCAGGAAGATTGAGGTCCTAGGCCTAGCTGGGCATGAAAAGAGACCCTATCCGTAAAATAATGTAAAGCATGTGGAAGCATGGCTCATGTAGTAAGTGCTTGGCCAGTAAAGTTCAAGGCCCTGAGCTCAAACCCTAGTGCCTCCACAAAAAGCAAAAAAGGAAATGGACATTCTGTTTCCCAGTGACTTTCAAAACTTTGTTTGCTAAAGTTTGTTACCTACAGTATCATTAGGTACTAAGTTGAACAATGGAAACAGAACAAATATATGTGGTAATGTTAAGGCTAGATAGATTCAAACATTAACCATTTGGCTAGGAGTTAAATTGGTTTGACAGTATGAGTCTTACTAATAGTGTAAAACAGGTTCATTCAGATAGGCTAATGAGAGGGAAGATGGTTAGGATTGTGGCTGGACCATCTCATAATCTAGTCCTACTTCTGATTGAGGGTCCCACTCAGGGTTGATGAATACCTGCTGATTCTCCTTTCTAGATACGATTTATGATGAAGATGAAGTGTTGTTAGCTCTTGCTGAGCAACTGGGGAACTTCACAGGCCTGGTGGGAGGTCCTGATTATGCCCACTGTCTGCTGGTAAGTACTTAGCTACTGCCTACTGCCTTGAGAGCTTTAGAGTATAGGAGGTGGACTGACTGTATACTTCAGCCTTTTTTGTGCAGATCTTTGTTAGTCATGTTAATTAGTGAGAAAAAAAAACAATGTAGACATTTGAGTAGTTCTTTCCCTGGCTGACTCAAAGAACTTTTCTCTGTTTCTGTACTGTACATATAATAGTTCAGAGATGGGAAGGAAAATATCTGATTATTTAAAAATTTTTCCCTCTGAAGCAGCATGTTTTTTCATCGTGTGTGTGTGTGTGTGTGTGTGTGTATGCTGGTCCTGCAGCTCCAACTCAGGGCCTAGGTGCTGTCCCTGAGATTCTTTTTCTCAAGGCTAATGCTCTACCACTTGAGCCATAGGGCACTTCTGGCTTTTTCTAAGTAGTTTATTGGATAAAAGAGTCTCAGACTTGCCTGCCCAGACTGGCTTTGAACCACAGTTCTCAGAACTTAGCCTCACAAGTAGCTAGAATTACAGGCATGAGCCACCAGCCATCCGGCAATATTTTGTTTTTAGTTGTGTAATTTTTGCTTTTGATGAGTTCAGTTTACTTCACATTATTGGGAACCTACTTTATCAGCAACATTGTAAGTTACAATTAATGTTGAAGACCAGTTCAAATGGAATGCAATCTGTCTTTATGTATAAATAGATATTTGCTGTGCAGTCTTAAGTGGAAAAATACAAGCTCTTAAATGGAAAGCTGCAACCCATACAAAGTACCCAAGTAGTAGGCAATCAAAAGGGATCCACTTTGAGCCATCAGGGAAGATTTCTTGGGAGATGATACCTGAATTAGATTTTAAAGGATGACCTGGAGCTTAGCAGTTGGACAAGGAAATTTTGTTTTATCATAGCACTTTAAATTATCTGTATGCTTAGTGTTTTAAATTTTCTCCCTGATACTGGCTCTCACGATTTCTAACTCAACCTCCAACCATTGTATAGCACTCCAGAGGTTTTTTATGGATAGATACCAATTAGTTTATAGAAATTGATATGTGTGTCTATATGATTTATCTATCTGGATTAAACATGTACTTCAAATATAATATACCTAAAGCAGAACTCAACTCCCCCTCTCCCCCTCCTATATGCTTCTTTTAGTTTATCACCATCTACTCAGTTACAGAGGCTAAAACCCAGAATGTATTTTTTTTCCCCCTTGGTTGTGTTAAGTAGTGAACCCAGGGCCTCACCCATGGTAAGCAAGCACTATACCACTGAGCAGCATCCCTATCTACAGTCTTTTTCATTCCTTCTCCACATCTAATCTGTGAGAAACACCTCCAGATGCTACATATGTTTTACGATAGTCCCTTCCCTCCTCCCTGAAGTACCACGATCTTTCATTTAGATTACTACAGTAACTTCTTAACTATAAATGTTAGTGATGGCTTGACTTAGGAGCTTTTGACTTTACATTGGTGCAAAAAATGTTGCACATTCAGTTGGAACTGTATTTCAATTTTGAATTTTGATCTTTTCTGGGACTCCAGTAAAAATACTCCCAAGGAGAATACTGTTACGTGCAGCCTAGCTGGCTGCCCCTGGATAGGCACGTGATCATAGGTGTAAACCAGTACTGTCCATGGTTCTCTGTGTCCAGACTGATGGTTGATAGGTTGGGTTTCACTGTATTTTTCATCTGTTGGGTTTCACTGTATTTTTCATCTATTGTATTGCTAAGTTATGATGAGTCTATTGGATGTAATTCCATTGGAAGTTAGGAGCATCTGTAGTTGACTTACAATATCTCTTCTAGTCCTGTGGATCACTGCTGTGGATTATAAAAAATTAGACTCTATAATTTACAAACCTTACTGTAACATGCCTCTTTGAGCTTACCTCGTATCATGTGCCTTTTTGGTGCTTCATTCTCTTCGTATTGGTCTTCTTTCTTTTCTTTGTGTGTGCCAGTCCTGAGACTTGAACTCAGGGTCTGGGTGCTGTCCCTTGAGTTTTTTTGCGCTAGGTTAGCACTCTACCACTTGAGCCATAGCTCTACTTCCTTCTTTCTGTTCTTTGTTTTTTTTTTTTTTTTTTGCTGGTCATGGGCATTAACTCTGGGCCTGGGCACTGTCCCTCAGCTCTTCAGCTCAAGGCTAGCGCTCTACCACTGGAGCCACAGTGCCACTTCCAGCTTTTTCTGTTTATGTGGTGCTGAGGAATTGAACCCAGGGCCTCATGCTTGCAAGGCATGCACTCTACCGCTGAGCTACAATAAGCCAGGTTCATTGTTTCCTTAAGACTGACCTTTAACCTTTATCTCTAATGAGATGCTGTTTTAAGCTTCCTGTGTCTGACTCTGCAAACAACTTCAACTCATCTCTGATTGACTTTCCCTAATCATTCAACTTGAAATAGCCTGCCACTTCCTATCACCTCTTTCTGTTCTTTTTCTTTACAAAGTGTTAGTCACCAACTAATTGTTGCCTTGGTTGACTGTTATTTCCTCCAGTTAAACTCCTCAAGGAACCTTTTCCTGTGTTTGATCTGCTGTGGTACAGCAGATCATTTATTGGAAGAAGGAGCTTCATAGTCTTGGAAACATGAAACTCGTTGGAATCAAAACTACTATAGTGATCAAAGGTCCATAAGAAAAGGACTTGGAGAGGGAAGCAGAGTTCCAAACAAGGTTCTCCGGAGTCTTTTGTCTTGTAGTGATAGACCCCTAGGCTGATAATGCATGAGAGGAAGTCACTGTTGGCAGAGGACAGGTTGTAAAAGACCTCAACAAGTAAGAGCCAGGTGGTATCTTCCTTCTTTTTTCTTTTGGTGATTTTGAGGTTTAAAGTCAGGGCTTCGCATTTGCTAGGCAAACACCTATCACTTGAGACATGCCAGGCAAGGCAGTATGTTTTTTTTGGTCGGTCGTGAGGCCTGAACTCTGGGCCTGGGCGCTGTCCCTGAGCTCTTCAGCTCAAGGCGAGCGCTCTACCACTTGAGCCACAGCACCACTTCTGGCTTTTTCTGCTTATGTGGTACTAAGGAATCGAACCCAGGGCCTCATACATGCGAAGCAAGCACTCTACCACTGAGCCACCTTCCCAGCCCCAACAGTATCTTTTCAATAAGCTTTTGAAATACTCTTTATGAAAGCTGAGAACTATTGAGCTTTATGTATCAAATATTTTTGAAATGCCTTATTACGTGGGTACACATCTTTGCTTTGAGTTGTTACTCTTCTGCTGCACTCTGTAGATCAATTCTCCAGTTGGACTTCATGCTCTAATCTTCATAGTTTAGCATGTGCTGAATGTACTTGGGCTGAATACAAACCCAGAAAAGCACAGCTTCAGAGAACCAGCCTGATTTTCACTTTCTAACGGGCCATGTCATGTTCATTGCTGAACCTTCTCTGGACACCAATCCCTTTGTACTCTTCTTCTAAAGCAGCAAACTGGTCTCCTACCTTCTCTATACTCTTCACTTGGTTTTTCTGTCAGAGCCTTCTGCATATGGGCGATATTGGCCTTTTAGAGGTTGGATAATTGGATGGCTCAGACCTAGCAGGTAGGGCCACTTTAATCTCCAGGTAGTCAGTATTGGTTTAACCTCTAGGACCTCTAGGCTGGTGCTCAAAAGGATGTAGGTTCAGCGGCCTGACAGGATGTCATTGTGTGATTGCAGTACCTGATGGGGGTCATATTTCTGTGCTTAGTCTTAAGGAAAGACATATCCTTTCCGAGTCTGGCTATGTATCATTTAAACTTAGTGATTTAGCTTCCAGTAATAATATTGTGTCAAGTCTCTTCCATGGTGTCATTAGTAGACGCCATCTGGGAATTGCCATCTGGGACATGGGATCTTGGCTTTTCCACAGAAGTCGTGTCTTCAGGGTGACTGTACCATATGTTATCACCGCGTGAACTCAGAGTAACCATTTGGTACGAAGTAGCTCACATTCTGGCTTTATGTCCCACTGACTTCCCTTCAGTTTCATTAAAGGTGACATCTGCATCTAACCAGATTTACTAAGTTTTCTTCTCTGCTTTTCCTTTTTGATGTTCAGCCTCCTTTGGAAAGTCTGGCTACTGTGGAAGAGACCGTGGTTCGAGACAAGGCTGTGGAGTCCCTGAGGCAGATCTCCCAGGAGCACACGCCCATTGCTCTGGAAGCCCATTTTGTGCCTCTGGTGAAACGCCTCGCAAGTGGGGACTGGTTCACCTCTCGCACATCTGCGTGTGGCTTGTTCAGTGTTTGCTATCCCAGAGCTTCAAATGCTGTCAGGGCAGAAATTAGACAGTAAGATATAATACGTTTTTAGTATTTGGGGCTGTGGTGGGCTCACAGTTGACAGTTTACATACTACTGTATTACCAGTGAGTGGTCCAAAGTAGAATAGTCGGGTTGATGCCATTGTAAAAAACAAAACAAAACAAAAGTCATGCAGCTGAATATGCCAGTGTTTTATTTTTGTTCCTTTTATGTGTAGAAACTTAATCACTGATGTTTGTAAGGGGAGACTACACTGTGTGTGTGTGTGTGTGTGTGTTTTGGGCATCTGTAACCCTTAGCAATGACAGGAAATACCTTCCTTATTGTCTGCTGCAGGCACTTCCACTCCCTGTGCTCGGATGACACGCCAATGGTACGGCGTGCCGCGGCTTCCAAATTGGGTGAATTTGCAAAAGTTCTGGAATTAGAAAGTGTGAAAACTGAGATTGTTCCACTGTTCACTAATCTAGCTTCAGATGAACAGGTAAATCAACTCATATTTAAGAGCTACAGATATATTATAAACATCTTTTTTACAGGGGTTTGGTTCTTATGGCAGGATCCACTTTGCAAAATGAGCAAAAACTGGTCTGGTATGACTCACCTTAGTGTCCATAGGTTTCTTTCTTAACCAGATCATTGGAAAGGAAGGCACATGGGGCCAAATCTTTAAGCCATAGTATAGAGTTTTAGATTTTCTTTTCTGGACTCATTGAAACTACATCTAGATTTTTGAGCAGAGAAGTGGTATGGTATGATTTACATTTTTGGATAGGAGATACAAATAGACAACAGAAGACCAGTTAGGAGATTCAGAGTAAGCAAGGAAGAAATGATGGACGTGAATTCAGGTGGTAATAGTGAAGATGGAGAGGGATCTGCATGGTTTGGAGCCTGAGCCAAAACCATTTAGCACTGTTAGATTAGGGGAACAGGAATCAAGATCTAGAGTTTTGACTTGAGCACTGCTAAGACTGAGAAGATTCTGGAAAGAGCAACGGGGGAGGAAATGCAGAGCTTTGGAAGAGAGTGATAGTAGTTCTTTGACTTGATCTCACTAAAAAAAATCTACAACATCTGTAGGATAGCCAAAAACCTAGTTCTGCCTTTTTTGCCTGTTCCTTTGGACAGGAGGAAGGAGCGTGTGAGCAGGCAGTCGGTTATCGCAGATTTATAGTTTCTCAGATTTCTGTTTTGGAGAGCTAGAGTCACTATTGTCTTTCTTGATCGTGTGTCTGGTGTACCTATGTTCATGCATTCTTTTTGCCTCATTTTTCCTGCTGCTCATATATTGACAGGGTTTCATATTCTACTTATATGTCTATGATTACCAAGTCTACATTCTCAACTCCTAATTTCTGATTGAGGTTTTTTTTGTTTTTAATTGTAAAAATACTGTACAGAGGGTTACAGTTACATGACTAATGTAATGAGTACAATTCCTATCGAACATTGTTACCTCCTCGTTTGTTTTCCCCTATCATCCCTTTCCTCCCCACCTCCCCAATCTGATTGAGTTTTATTTGCATATTTCCATTGGTAAAAGAGCACGAGATGTCAAATTGTCATTTGGCACTTCATGTGTGAGTTCATTTATCCCCTTAATGTCTCTCTCTCTCTCTCTTTCTGTCTTTTGCTCTAGCATTTAGACTCAACTTTTTTTTTTTGGCTGGTCTTGGGACTTGAACTCAGGGCCTGGGCACTGTCTTTGAGTCTCTCTGTGCTCAAGGCTAGAGCTTTACAACTTGAGCCACAGTGCCACTTAACAGCTTTTTCTGTTTATGTGGTACTGAGGAATTAAACTCAGGGCTTCATGCTAGGCAAGCACTCTTCCACGAAGCCACATTTCCATCCCCTCTTTTCTTTTTTTTGGTTACAAATTTTTTATTTGCTTTGTGAATTTCTTTCCAAATCTGTCTCCTGCCTGTACTTCTCTGACTGCCACTGTGAGCTGAGTAGTTTGAAAACTGAGCTTGCAAAGTGATGGGCCTTGCCTCTTTTCTCTGCTTTGATCAGTTCTAAATCACTTCTGTACGTGTAATTTCCATTTCCTACATTTTCTACTATAACTAGGCTTCAGATAGATCATACATATGTTCTCTTTGACACTTTTTGCCTTTCATTTTCCTTAGTAAAAATTCCAGCCAAGGTTATCTGCTGTTCTTCCTATAACACCTTCGTTTCTTTTGGTTTTCACATGCCATTCTTGGTGAAGGGAGCAAGCCATTCAGCCATTTTCAGACATAAAGACGTGAAATTACACATGGTGTTTTGTTTGTTCTTTTTCTGAAACGATACCTGTACCAGCACTGCTTCGTGTCACATAGAACTCTGTGTGTTCCTTTAGGATTCAGTGCGCCTCCTGGCTGTGGAAGCCTGCGTCAGTATTGCCCAGTTACTCCCTCAAGATGACCTTGAGGCCTTGGTCATGCCTACGCTTAGGCAAGCAGCGGAAGATAAATCTTGGCGAGTTCGCTATATGGTAGCAGACAAATTTTCAGAGGTAAAATTAGTGCATTGGCTGTGTGTGTGTGTGTCTGTGTGTGAGAGAGAGAGAGAGAGAGGGAGAGAGAGAACGAGAGAGAAAGCGAGAGCATGAGCATGTGACAGTACTGAAGCTTGAGATCTAGGCATCATTTCCTTGCTCAGTGTTTTCTGCTCACAGCTGGTGAGCCATACCTTCAGTTCTGGCTTTTTGCTGGTTAATTGTATTTTTTTTTTTTTTTTTTTTGGTCCAGTTGTGGGGCCTGTACTCTGGGCCTGGCCACTGTCCCTCAGCTCTTCAGCTCAAAGCTAGCACTCTACCACTTGAGCCACAGCGCCACTTCCGGCTTTTTTCTTTTTTATGTGGTGCTGAGGAATCGAACCCAGGGCCTCATGCATGCAAGGCAAGCGCTCTACCACTGAGCCATACTTCCCAGCCCTGCTGGTTAATTGTAGATAACAGTCTCAAGCCTTTGTCTATTTTGGTTGGCTTTGAACCTTTATACTTCAATTTCAGTCTCCTGAGGAGCTAGAATTATAGGCATGAACCATTGATGCCTGACCTATATTGGCATTTTTAAGTATTAAATAAAAAAACCTCCAGAGAAAACACTCATATTTCTGTTGTATGTGGAGTGTCTGGATCCTTTTGAATGGCAAATGTTGTAACAATATACTTGAAAATTGTATACAACTCTTTTTTTTAGCTCCAGAAAGCTGTGGGTCCTAAAATCACCCTTAATGACCTCATCCCAGCTTTTCAGAACTTACTTAAAGACTGTGAAGCTGAAGTCCGAGCAGCTGCTGCCCATAAAGTGAAAGGTTCTGGAATTAAATTCATGTTGTAATCTTTGTTATTCAGTTTTTGTCAGTCATTTTGGTGCTTTCTGTGTGTGTGCTGGTACTGGGGATTGAACTCAGGGCCTTGTGCTTTTACTTGATTGTTTTGCTCAAGACTGGTATTCTGCCACTTGAGTCACACCTCCACTTTTGGCTTTTTACTGGTTAATTGGACATGAGAGTCTCTCAGAGTCTCTCTGCCTGGGTTGGCATGAGTCTTAGAGTTGTCTTCACAGGCTGCCTTCGAGCTGAACCTAGATCCTCAGCTCTCAGCCTCCCGAGTAACTAGTATTTCAGGTCTGAGCCACTGGTATTTTTTTAATATCCACGGCTCTTTTTAAAATCTTAGAATGTGTTTCAGTTAATAGAGATGCTTCAGAGTATGGAAATGTCATAGTGGCATATAAAGCTGCTCCTTTACAGACTTAACAGCCATTTTGTCTTGGTTCTAAAAGCTTATTTACAGGCTAGATTGGCATAGTTAGTATGCGAGGGCCCAAAGACCTTGGCTGGTTTTAGACATATGATTTGCTTTAACTTGCAATAGTTGAAAAGCCTAGGGTACTTACTTGGTTATGTGTAAATGGTTCTATGAAAACACTAATTTTTCTATTTATCTCTTTCAGAACTTTGTGAGAACTTGCCCAATGAAGGTAGAGAGACCATAATAATGAATCAAATTCTACCCTATATAAAGGTAAATGCAACTTCAATTTACTTTTTTTGTTTTGTTTTGTTTTGCTGGTTGTGGGGCCTGAACTCTGGGCCTGGGCGCTTTCCCTCAGCTCTTCAGCTCAAGGCTAGTGCTCTACCACTAGAGCCACAGCATCACTTCTGGCTTTTTTTGCTTATGTAATGCTGAGGAGTTGAACCCAGGGCCTCATGCATGCAAGGCAAGCACTCTACCACTGAGCCACCTTCTCAGCCCCTCAGTTTACTTTTTTACTCTTCACTATATGAAGGTGAATGTTCAGTTTTTTTTTTTTTTCCTTAAAGTTCTTGGAGTTTAAGGTAGACATGGAATAATTAAGGCAGATGTTTTAAATTTGTTTTTTTTTTTTTATTGCTTATGGGTTCACTTTACTATTATTCTTATAAGGTGCTCTTTGGTACTTTTGCCTGTCAGATCTAACAGATGTCCGTCTCATGAAGTAGTGCTGGCTCTCAGTGCCATAGGAGATGTAGGAAGGCTTTTGTAGTCTTGCAAAAGAAAAAAGTCTTAACTTTTTGTTTTATTTTAGGAGTTAGTATCTGATACCAATCAACATGTCAAATCAGCTCTAGCTTCTGTAATTATGGGATTGTCTACTATTCTGGGTAAAGAGAATACCATTGAACATCTTCTACCTCTTTTTTTAGCTCAGTTAAAGGATGAGGTGAGTGGTTATATATTCTATTGCCTTTATAGTCCTTGATTTAATGTGATTTTTGGCTTGGAGTTTCACTAAAGTAGGACTGAAACATAGAAATGGGTTTAAAAACCATAGCGTGAAGTTTTAGACTCTCCTTCTGGGTATGAGGTAAAGGTTCCCCAGAAAATGGATATAAGGATCGCAAACCTAAAAATGTGTATCCATCTTTCTGTTTGGGTTCTGCTTTATGTTTTCTTGTTCCAGTATCTTTAGACCCAATATATCTTTGCTTAGAAAGTATCTATATTTTATTTGTTTAGTGGTGCTGGGGTCTTGAACTCAAGTCTTCTGCTTGTCAGCAGGTGCTCTTACTGCTGGGCCCTGCTTCCATCCCTTGTTTGTGCTGGTTATTTTCGAGATAGGATCCCACTTCATGCCCAGGCATATGCCTAGGCCTTGATCTGCCTACTTTAGGCTTCATGACTAGGCTTCATAACTGGCAGATGCTACTGGGACCAGCTTTCTGTTGAGAAAGGGGGTCTCAGGAACTTTTCTGCCTGGCCTGGCCTTGAACCATGATTCTCCTAATCTCAGCCTCCCATTTAGCAAAAATAATAGGCATGAGTCACTGTTAAAAAATTATCTTTTATTTAAGCTTAGATAAGAGTATCAAAATTATAATGATAGCTAATATTTCTTGAAAGATATGTGCTGAGCATGGTTTTAAGTTCTTCCTATGTATTGTGAAATGAAATCCTCACAACGGTTTAATGAGGTAGATCTTATTACTCCCATTTTTCAGATGAAGAAGCCGAGGCACAGTGAGATAAAATAACCTGCCTGAGATTTATAAGCTGTGGCAGATAGCGGATGTACCTGATAGGGTTCCAGAGGTTATATGTACTCAGTAGTTACTATTTTGTAAGCTGTACTTGGTTTGTATGTGTCATATACCCATACACACCAGTCATATACACCAGTTATATCCCCCTTTTTTTCCTACCTATCAGTGCTTTATAGCACTTTTTTTGGGTTGGTCATGGGGCTTGAACTCTGGGCCCCTTGGTGCTGTCCCTGAGCTCCTCAGCTCAAGGCAAGCGCTCTGTCACTTGAGCCATAGCGCTACTTCCGGTTTTCTTGTGGTTTATTGGAGATAAGTGTTTCATGGACTTTTCTGCTGGGGCTGGCTTTCAACAGTGATCCTGAGGTCTCAGCCTCCTGAATAGGTAGGATTATAGGCATGAGCCACTGGCTCCTGGCATTTTATAGCACTCTTTAATCTTACAACAGAAGAATATTTGGCATGATTTTTTTTGTTGTTGTTGGTTGTGGGGCTTGAACTCTGGGCCTGGGCGCTGTCCCTGAGCTCTTCAGCTCAAGACTAGCACTCTACTACTTGAGCTACAACACCACTTCCAGTTTTCTGGTGGTGAGTTTCACGGACTTTCCTGCTCAGGCAGGCTTTGAACCTTGATCCTCAGATCTCAGCCTCCTAAGTAGCTAGGATTACAGGCGTGAGCCATTATTTATGTATGATCTTTATGGAATTGTTTATTTATAGTGTCCTGAAGTTCGTTTGAATATCATCTCTAATTTGGATTGTGTCAATGAAGTGATCGGGATCCGTCAGCTCTCTCAATCTCTCCTTCCTGCCATTGTGGAACTGGCTGAAGATGCCAAGTGGAGGGTCCGGCTGGCCATCATTGAGTATATGCCACTGCTTGCGGGCCAGCTGGTGAGTATAGGTGCTCTTGAAACTAAAGGGTAGTGCAGATAATGGAGCTTTAACCATGGCAAGTAGAAGCCCAAGCAGTCTTATGACTTTACTTAGATGTGTGAAAGCAAGCTTCTCTACCTTACTTACCGGATGGCTTTTATTTTCATTAGAGCATTAACTGGTGTTAGAAAAGTATTATAGCTATAAACACATTTCATTTTACTGCCACCATAAAGTCACGTATAATATGATGAATTTCTTGGTATGGTATCTATATCATAAATCTTGTAATATTTGAAGCCAAAGGACTAATTTATAAAAAAGAAAATGAAGTATGGTTTCAAGATAAATTAGATTTGATTTTTGTTCTAGGAAGCATCTCTGGTTACCTATATTGTAAGCAAAATGTCCTTAAAAACTACTTTTTCCTGAATTCTGATGCGAGTTGAGGAACAACCTATGTAGATAAGCTTGTAATTCAATTATTTTGGCCAAGTCCACGTTTTTTATCATATTGTCTGTTATTATTAGTTTTATTCTGAAAACATTATTCTTTTTTTTTGGGGGGGGGGGAGGTTTTGAACTCTGGGCCTGGTGCTATCCCTGAGCTCTTCAGCAGTTTAGCGCTACAGCACCACTTCCTATGCTAAACATTTCAAAGCTAAATTTTATAGTCACATTTGTTGCTTTCTTTCCTTTCCATTAGATGATCTAAAAGTTTCATAGGTCCTTATTCTTTTTCTTTTTCTTTTTTTTTTTGGTCGGTTGTGGGGCTTGAACTCTGGGCTTGGGCTCTGTCCCTGCACTCTTCAGCTCAAGGCGTGCACTCTACCGCTTGAGCCACAGTGCCACTTCTGGTTTTCTAGTGGTTTATTAGAGATAAGAGTCTCACATGGACTTTCCTGCCCAGGCTGGCTTTGAACCGTGATCCTCAGATCTCAGCCACCTGAGTAGTTAGGATTACAGGTGTGAGCCACTGTGACTGGCCATAGGTCCTTATTCTTGCTGGTAGCGTGCTGTTAACTGTTACGATGTAGTCAGTGTGAAAGTTCATTGTAACGGTAGCACTATACTCTTACTGTGTATTGAGGAGAGTTGACTAGTGATTACTTCTTGGGCAGGGACTGTTCAGTGTTTCATTTCTAGTGGCTGCTACAAAGCCTGATTAATTGGCCTTTGTTGATTGTTGAATAAAAGAATGCAGGAGTATTTATGAGAAAGCTCATATGTCAGTTAGAGCTGACAAGACTCCAGTTTGTATCCCTCCCTTGGCCCTGCTCTGATCCTATCAGATCACAGCATGAGGTTTATTTTTTCTTTCTCTGACCAGTGGATTTATATCAGTGATTTCGGTCCCTTTAGTTCATGAACATGTATCTTGTGGATGTCTGCAGCATTATGTTGTATAGAATTCGAAGTGTTCTGTTCTGTTGCCAAAGTGGTCAGCATATTTGAGAGTCAGGAGAAATCATCTTGTCACCCTTCCCATTGTCACTCCCAGGGCTGTGACTCTCTAGGATCATCCTGTGGGGTGGAAAGCAGCCGTGGCTGATGGGTTGCTGAAGACTGAAACAGCTGTCTGGGAAGTGAATGCCAGCACGAGTTCTTTTTTTATTTTTTGTTTTCTAGTATCTTATACTTTTTCTCATTGGCTGGCATTCTACCACCTGAGCCATGCCTCCAACCCCAAATACCATTTCTTCACCCTCTGCTCTGTCTCCACCTGGAGGTCTCCCAGGTCTCACTACACCCAGCAGTATGGAATCCAGGCAGATCGCACCTTTGACTGGCTTATTCCTGGGAGGGGTGACATGTAATAATTACAGACACATTTTGTCTTATGTATTCTCACTTTCCTTAATACGCCAAGATTTTGAATAATTTAGCCAGTTGACCAGTAAACATGAGTAAATATGAGTAAATAAACAGTTAAAAAATAGAAATCAAGAAGGAAAATCTTCATCCTGAAATGAAGAGATCTATGAGAACAGATGTAATAGTCGTAAGACTACATCTGGCAAACTACATCTGCCAAAACCTGATCATCTGAAACTTTATCTTTCATCTATTCAAAGTACTTCATCACTGGTCAGGAACTTTTGTAGACTTCAGAGAATTAAAAGATTAAATATTAGACCTCAGAAGGAAGGAGCCAGGACAGTACGGATCACAGTGCTCACCAGCTGGCACAAAAGTCGTCCCTGAGAAGTCTGTGCAAATGAGCTGGGTGTGGCTTCACACTGGAGCCCTCGCCCTGTCAGCTGGTGCCTCCCTTCCTCTGCTAATTTCTCCTGTTGTCCCCCAAATCCTCTTCGTGTGTGTGTGTGTGTGTGTGTGTGTGTGTGTGTGTGTGTACGCGTGTACGCGTGTGTGCTAGTTCTGGGGCTTAAACTCTGGGTCTTGCCCTACCACTCAGCTTGCTTGCTTACCTGGCCTTTACCACTTGAACTACACTGCCAATCCTGCTTTTTGCTATTTAATAGAAGATACAATCTTTCAGATTTGTCTGCCCAGGCTGGCTTTGAACCACAATCCTCCCAATCTCAGCCTAGCTGCTCAGCCTCCTGAGGAGCTAGGATTACAGGTGTGAGTCACTAATGCCCACCTTCAGTCAGGGACATCTTTTTTTATTTTTTTTTTTGGTTGGTTGTGGGGCTTGAACTCTGGACTTAGGTGCTGTCCTTGTGCTCTTCAGCTCAAGGCGAGTGCTCTACCACTTAAGCCACAGCGCCACTTCTGGTTTTCTAGTGGTTTATTGGAGGTAAGAGTCTCACGTAGACTTTCCTGCCCGGGCTGGCTTTGAACCTCGATCCTCAGATCTCAGCCTCCGGAGTGGCTAGGATTACAGGCCACTGGTGCCCGGCAGTCAGGGACATCTTGACGTCAGTTGCTTCATCCGTAAGGATTTGTTTTTTTGTTTTTTGTTTTTTTAATTTAATTTA